AAGAGCTGGAATCCCCCCTCAGACCACCTGTGTTCTTCAGTTAACTGAAGCCATGTGCCTGGTGGAAAAACTAGTGTCGTGTGGTTTGGTCCCTTTTGTGCCATGGCTCTTCTTCTTATACTGAGCTGACCTCAGGCTGAACTCATTCTGTCTTTGCATTTAAGTTTCCTCTACTCAGTGAAACCCTTAGCCTCAGTCCTATCAGCTGAAAGTTATTTACATACTGTGGCTAATTTCATCCTGGAGTAGTTTAATGTTTCAGTAACAACACAATGCCTGATCAAGATGTCTGGCCTATTGTATGCTTTTTAACACAGTGTTCAGTATATCACCACTGAAAAACCCCCAATGAAAGGCATTTTGGTTAGAGTTTATATTAATTTATTCAATAAGTTTTTACCCCTGTGTAAATGAATAAGCCCATTAATGCGTATCTTTAAATTTTGCATGCTCTTCTGGAAAGCATGTGCGAGCGCTTTAAGGCTACTTCTCTCAGGTGTTTGAGCTCTTTAATTATGCTGCAGTGGCCCATCACTTAAACAGTGCTTGATCTTATTTCACTGAGCCACTGTGTTATCTTCAGTGGTGAAAGGTGTACTCAGATTATTTACTTAAGTAAACACAGCAAGTTTAGATTATCTTGATCCCAGATGGTGGTGGCAGAGATTTTGAGCCAGGCTCAAAGCTGCTATAGTTTTCATTTGTAGGACTGGCATTATGCCACTTTATAAGGTATTTACATTTTTTCAAATGACAAAGTAACTACTTAGATTGAGAATATGTGGTCAGTCCATCCAGGTAAAGCCAATTTTGAATTTGGTCCAAGGTTTTCAGAGATGTGAGTGCTCCTTACCTGACCAAACTAGCTCTGTTAGCAGGCAGCTACATATTGTTCAGAGCTCAGTGGTCTGTCGGCGAGGATGCCGGTGTTCCCCTGTCGGTACTCAAATATTACACCCCATGCTTCCCTTAACTGTTACCTGGCATAACCTCACTGGTTGAGGTGGACCTTTCTACTTTTCCTTTCCACTGTGTTGTTCCCTGTGATTGTCTCTGTTTGGAGGATGGCATTATGGGGAATTTGAGTTGCCCTTGGTGGAGGTTTGTTCTCTCTGAGAGCTGTCCTGTTATTTTATCGAGTTTAATGTGATGTTGGTCAAACTATGCATACCCAGCTAGTGAGAGACCCACAATGTGGGAACAGCAGTAAACTATAACATGAGTACAGCATCTGGCCACCTGTCATCTGACTGAATATTTTACTGTGTTTTTCTTCTGTTTGCTGTGGAAGCTTATCACTACACACACAGACTTCTGCACACTTATACGGTTGTTTGTGTCATTCAAGAGGATAGCATTTGTTAAAAAAAAAAACACGTTCTTTGCTAAAGAATTAGTAATTTGTTCTGCAAAAATACACTGGGGCGGTTTGCAGCCGAGTGTGAAGTGGCTGGGGTGAGAAACAGCGGCTCCAAAAACGAGGGCATGGTTCT